ATTCGTTCTATTCGGATCTATTGTTTAAAAAAAAAAAAAATACTGTATGATTTTTTATATTAGAAAAAAAAAAGGTAAAAGGAGTGACATATTGTGCGAGTGAATCAGACGCGTGAAGAAATAGCGTAACGGGGTTAGTCTGATCATTTGTAGCCAATAACCAAACCGACTCCAAACAATCGCCTAAATAGGGAAAGGAAATCCACACCCTTCCCATGACCCAAATTGCCCAATTCCGCCACTGCCGGAAACAAACAAACATGGGTGACAGCTGCGCCGGAAACCACAGCGATCTCTCCCCAAAATCCTCCGACGGCGGCGATCCTGCCGTATGGGCGGCCTTCACGGAGAACTTTCGGCAAGTCCAGTCGGTGCTCGACCGGAACCGCGTGCTGATCCAGCAGGTGAACGAGAACCACCAGTCCAAAATCCACGAGAACATGGTGAAGAACGTGGCGTTGATCCAGGAAATCAACGGGAACATCACCAAGGTCGTCTCTCTCTACTCCCATCTGTCGGAAAACTTCTCCACCGCCGTCCATCACCACGGCGAGGCCAGGAGCCCCGGCGGCTCTGCTTCTGAGGGGGACAACAAGTAGTAGACTTTATAATTTTAATAATTATTATTATTACTATTATTAGTGGTGAGATTATTAGAGTTTGATGTAGTTTTTGTTGTTACTGTAGCTCAGTAGCTGCTTTGGAATATGGAATACTGGTTGGTGCACAATTTCTGTCCAAATAAATTTGTATGTCTTTTTTTTTTTTAATATATTTAAATTTAATATGCATTTTCGTTCCCCTTTTGTTTTCATTGTATACTGCAACCATATTAAGTAAGCCTGGCTTTATGGAATATTTTATGTTTGACACTTTTAACGGAATACTTGCCACATGATATATATATATAATATATATATATTATATCTGAGAAAGCATCTTAGCATTCACAAACTAGCGAAATAATAACAAGGCGTCAGTCAAGGGTTGTGTTGCTGAATCTTTTGAGGTTGAGACTTTTTTGTTTATTGTCTCATTCATAAAACACACTGATAATAGTAGTGACTTGAATTGAGACTAGACTAGAGGTGTGTGTGTGTGTGTGTGTGTGTAACAAGTAGAATTAGTAGTAGCATTTTGGATTTCTTGGTTTTCGCCGCCGCTAAATCTAAATGAAAACATGGATTATGACCTGCATTTGGAGTTGATCTTTTCCAGTCAGTTGAAACCTTCACAATTCAAGTGACCAGTAAATTCTTCAACTAATATCTGCGGATCTAAACTGCCAGTTACATGTCATAAAGTATAATAAACACAAACAAGTCGACATGGGCGAACTCAAAAGGGGGTCACAACGGCAGTTCACCGCTGTCTGAGATGATAACTGTGCTTTTGGGAGTCCCACTTTGTCTGCCCTGAGACTCGATCATCTTCACCACATCCATACCCGACAACACTTTCCCAAATACGACGTGATGCCCATCCAACCTTTTAAAACACGACAACCATTGTTGTCAGAAATATATGGTGAAGCAAAGTCTGCAAGGTATTTTAATTATAAACTCATCCTCGAGCATCACACAATTGATGGAAAACCCTGTAATTATCTTTCATAAATTAACAAATGTTGCCTTGATTAACTATTCTGTTTTTTGAAATTAAAATTCGCACCCTCGACAACAGTTTGGGGGTGGATCGATAGTTGTCAGTGTTTTTCCAATCTCAATAGAGTAGTTTTTGAATTTTTCAAAGATAACTGGTCGGTCGGCAGTTGTCAGAATTTTAAGCTGTAAAATTTCTTATTACCAGCTTGTTGTCACAGTGGTAATGAAAAACTGAGATCCATTGCTATCGACTCCAGAGTTTGCCATCGAGAGAACTCCTACAGTGACAAGATATGAAAATATGAGCCAACATAAAATATATTCACATATTTTGTAACTAAACATTAAGCATAAATCACTCACCAGGACCAGTGTGCTTCAACTTGAAGTTCTCATCAGGAAATCTGTTACCATAAATTGATTCCCCACCACGGCCATCTCCCCGAGTGAAGTCACCTCCTTGGATCATAAAGCTTGGTATGATCCTATGGAATTTGCTCCCTTTGAAATGAAGGGGCTTCCCACTTGTTCCAGTTCCTTTCTCCCCTGATATTTTTTGAAGCAGAAGCAGAAGCAGAAGCAGAAGAAGAAGCAGAAGAAGCAGAAGCAGAAGAAGAAGAAGAAGAAGAAGAAGAAGAAGCAGAAGAAGAAGAAGAAGAAGAAGAAAGTTGGAATCAAGAATCTTTAGTTATATATACAAATAACTGAATAAAACTAATGGATGAAGATTCTTCTTTGACAAGATATTTCAGAGCCAAAGACTTGATAATTAAGAAACTTTTGCAAAACGAATATGGAAAAACGCTGAAAGTTTTATTTTCCATGTTCTACATCACGGAAAAGGTTCTGTAATAACGCATACAACAAGAATTGGATAACAATCCAATACTTAACAGACTCAGAAATCCATAACAGAGATCTGGGGATAGATATGCAGTTACACACCAATCACCAGTGCCTACACTCTTAGGACTTGTACTAAAAAAAATGGTTTCATTATTCCTTTCTTTTCTAAGAATAAAAATAAAAAAGAACTAATTCCTTCCCACAAAAGCAGATTTGCACTCTCCAACCCCTTGAAAAGTTATGCGCGGCAAAATTGTCGTATATAATCAATGTAATGTTGTTTTGGGGGATTAGAGATTCTATCATTTTTACCCAGCATATCTAAAGGAGCAGATAAATGCTACAAGATAATTTTGTCCTTTGTAGTCTATGACCAACAAAATACAAGAATATGATGCCAACTGATATCCATTACCAGATCGCAGAACATGTTTTAGTTAATAGTTAAAAAGAAGTAGAGCAGGAAAAGAGAGAAACTATTTTACTCGGCTACCTGTGCAAAGAGCTCGAAAATTTTCTGCAGATAAAAATGGAAAGATTTAAGTACAAATCCATTGGTCAAAAGAAAGCATAAATACTATTAGCAAGCCACATCATTGAATGCACTTGAAATGCAACCTGCAGTCCGAGGTACGGTTTTCCCAAAGAGGCCCATCACAATACGACCTGAAAATGCCATAAATAATGTGTTTTATTATTTTTTAGCAACTAAAAAGGGTTCCTAAGTGATACCCTTCAACAAAAGGCTGAAAAAATAGGAATACCCTTCACGACCATTTCTATACAAATTTAATGTAACATCTCCACTCTCCCAAGTGATATTCCTTCTTGGTATACGCCAATAGATAGATAGATATTATTCTACAATTCTTGTAATGTCATAAAGAAAATCAATTAGTCAGGACAAAGAGTCAAACAAAGAGAAAGAGAAAATAGTAGAAACAAATACAATTATCAAATCTATATATGTTCACGCACACACGAGTAAAAAATCGTGAGGAAGTTTGAAAGAAGGTGATCAATATTCGACTTTTCCAGATCAGGTTTCATATTATAATCAAGTTCAAACTGCGTCGTAAAATTGAAACTCAGTTTCTTCCCCGAGTTATATAAAAACTCACAAATACAAGCCAAAGGATTGCTGCTGTTAGTGGTTTTATATAACACATATATAAATATATATAGGACTAACCTTTATGTAGCGGAAGCGATTACTTGCCCGTATATCTTTTATCCGACGGCTACTAGAGTCGTCGGTATCCTCCACGTTCTATAACCCGAGCCGCCTTAAGATGGTTTCGGCTCAACAAGAGAAAAGCACTATAAAGATTATGTATTTTCTCTAACTTGTTTTCTTCTCTCGTATTGTTGTTTTTTCATGATGCACCAAACATCATATTTATACTTGTCTTCATGGAACACAATTAAATGAAGACTTTAAGCACACTTCTCATAACTCCATACTTAATGGAGATGAGGTTGTAACACACCATCTTTAAGTGGATGTTACTACTTGATGCACCATAGCATCAATTAAATACAATACTCCCACTCAGCCGAGACTATAACAACAAATCTTTATTAGTAAATCTCTTGCCTCATACGGGTAATAGAGCGTGCGACCAAATGCAACGATAACAGCGTTATATTAAGTTACCATCCAACTAACATAACACTTTCTTACTTACGACAACCTC